TTGGTTGCTTGTTAACCTTTGTTGTGAACCAAACAAGCTTCTTTATATATTTGTTTGATATTTTTGTAGTAGGGCTAGGCCTATGACTTTTCATTACAGTTCTGATCTTTTCATTGAAACAACACAACTATAAGGGCCCTTTTTTTGTTGTGTGAGAGCATGATGAGTCTTTTTGAAATATAATTTGATTCTTCTTTGTACTTTTTTGTGAACCAACTTGTTTTGTGATTTGAAATTAAGATGTTTCTAAGCCAATGATAGGACAACATTGTATGAGGCTTTTGGGCTTGAATTTTTTATTTGTGATGCTGCTTGTTGGACTTGATAGTGAATTCTGATTTCTTTGAATCTTTGTCTTCCTGGGCCCTTGAACCCGTACCTGTTGTATTTGGGTTGCTTTTTGTGATGAGCTTCTATTTTGAATTTCTATTTTCATTTGTTTATTGTGAAGCAAGTCAATTGTGATTTGCAATAGACCTAGGCCCATGATTAAATCCATTTTTGTATGAGGTTGTTTTGGCACAAGAACATGACTGAAAAACACCTTTTTCTTATTCAATAAACCAAACCCTAATGATGAATTAAATAATCTTGCAATTCTTTGTTTTACTTTTAACTGGTTGCCAACTAATCCTTTTCTCCTTTTGTTTCATGTATTCGGCATTGATACGAGCTTGGAAAGATGATGAAGACTTTGAAGATGAAACTGAAGAAATGGCCATGGGGAACTCAAAGTTTTGAAGAAGAATCCTCTTTTTTATGTATCTTTTTAGAACAAATAGGGAACTTTATGATTCAAATTTATAAATTAACTTGTAAGGTGATTTGAAATTTTGGTGAATGTCATGTGAATTCTAGAATTCATTCTTGTATTATGCTTGAAAAAATGAACACTTGAAATATTGTTGCATTCTTGTAATTAATGAAGTTTGAGAATTTGAGATCCTCATTTATTTGCGATAATGCTTGTAAGAACGAGTTGAAATATTTGAAAGAATTTTGATTGAAACATGAACCATTGAACTTAGCATTCGTTCTTGTCCTTTGAACTTGAATTCGACTTATTGTTCACTTCAAACTAACAAAACTCCCCTCTTTGGAATATGATACTATCTTAGAAAATTGAATCAAAACAATCACTTTTAATGAACACTTACAATAATGAATTCGCCATGATCCAAATCTTCAATCTTCATCAATAAGTAACAATCTTCAAGATAACAACAAAAAGCCTCACTCTCAACAAATCTCTTGGCATTTATATTTCAATTTAAACAAAGGTATCTTGATTTAATTATAGTAATTGACGCTTTGAAGAATCCTTCGATGAATGTCTCGTTTGGAACATGGAAATGAGAGCGACCATAAGAATCTTTAGCCCACTGAAACTTAGTTGATGATTGAAAGTGTATTCGAACAAAACGTAGGATGATAATGCTTCAAAGATATTATAAAGGATGACGTCACACACTTCACAATAAAACCCATGCGCCAGAGCCAATAGATAAGGAAATTGTGATTCATCCCAAAATACTTGCAAGTTCTGAATCCCCCGATGAAACAGAGAACCGGCTTGAGATGTCACGAGGCCTGAGAAGCCTTGGTAACCTAAGGTGATTGAAAACCCTAGGAGTATGGAGGGACATTTTTTGAATGAAAGAATAGGACAAATTTTGGGGTACAATAATAGGAAACGACTATATATCTTTTATAGCCTTTTTAAACGTGCTAATCGATTAATTTTAGGCCTACCAATCAATTGATGCATGATACCAATTGATTGGCTCATCAATTATGGCCTCAATTTTTTTTCTTTTTTTGTGTCAATCTCTAGCCAATATATAAAGATCACTTCCCACATATTTTCACACCCAGAAACATGATCTTTCATTCCTCACTTCTCACTCTCTTTCTAAAATATTTCTTTTTACTTTCTCTCACTAAAAGTTTAGTCGTAGTGCTCTTGAGAAAATCATTTTGCAAGTGAGGAAGTTGTAATTCTAGAAGGGTGCATTTGTAAATTTACCAAGGGAGTTTTTTTTACCTTGGTTGAATAATTCATCCATTTAGAGATTATTTAGAGATTATTTAGAGATTATTTGTCATCTTCTACTAGCATCTGTTTCACTAACTCGGTAATTATGTGCAACTTTATTTTGTCCACCCACTTTTTTTCCTTTAGATAAAACAAATTTAACATTGTAGACAATCGTTTAAAACATGTATATCCCTTATATAACGACGCATCCTTGTCACTATATAAAGTATCATAAATATGAGTTTTTCTAAAAGAAGATTCTCCAATAGTATGGATCATATCTTCTAGTCGGTCATCCATATATACATCAACTTCATGTCTTTGTGACATCGCAATTTGTTTTTTTATCTACTTCATCATGCCACGTTCATATTGTATAATTTTGACAATTTTCATCACAACATAGGTGATGGAATTATTATTTTTTCTTTGATTTTTTTTAATATTTCAGCATATAACACAAGGAAAATAAAATATTTCATTATTATCATGAATATTTTGTTTCGCATATTCAAGAAATTCAAGAACCCATTTCTCATACACGAGACTTAATTTGTCGGCTTTCATCCAATTATGTTTTATAACACATTCTAAAATTTATATCAAAAGCTTGTAAGATCATTTAACAATACAACAATACACAACACAACAACAACATTTTCAATACAACAACTTACTAAATTAATTTTCAACAATATGAAAAAACAATATCTATAATAATACAACAATACAACAACATTGTCAACAACACCTTAACAATCTCAATACGACAACACAATAAGAATGAAATAATTACAACAATAATATATAACATTCTCAACACAAAAACAATCTCAACCTCACTTAATCACTACAACGTGTAACATTAAACAACAACAACAAAAACCTATAATTATCTCAATAAATAACAAAAATCTATAACTATCTCAACAAATAGAAAAAAATCTAAAACTCTCTACATGAATGATGATGAAATAGATTTTCGTGTACGCTTCTTGAAGTTTCATCTTTCCACTCATTTATTTGAATCTGAAATGATAGTGTTTGCTTGATCTCTGCTATCGTTTTCTTCTGTTCTTTTGCTATGGCACTTGTGTTATGAAGGAAATAAACTAAAATGTGTTACATTTTAATTTTTAGAAACATTTTTCACCACACCTAACAAAAATAACTATTGTGATATATTATACATATTACCATGGTTTCCCTTCGCAGACGTGGTGAAATTATTTAGGATTTTGTCTATAAAACTAAACAAGCACGTCATTCACCTTTTTATTAAACCTAATTCATCCCGTGCATATTTCATTCTTCAAATTTTAATACAAGTATATTAATAAAGTTGATTTAAAGATTAACTTTAAGATTCACTTTATCAAGTAAACAATAGATTTAAATCTTACATTGATTTTTAATGCCAAAATTTTCAAGATATAAAAAAAAAATAAAGAAATCGCACACAAAGCAAATATGAGATTGTAAAAACAAAACTCATTATTATTGTGAAAACTAAACTCAGATTGAAAAAATAAATGTCACGTTTCATTAAGGTTGGTAAAAATGACAGTGGTAAAAAATATTTTAATTTTAATATAAATATACAAATTAAGAAATTTTTTTTTTTTTAACAAATAAATGATAAATAGTGTGTAATTCTTAATTTATCACCATGTAATTCTTAATTTATCACCGTGACTGTTAGTCTAGACCGAAGTAAAAAGTATCTTATTAAATAAATAAATATACCTAAATAAAAATTATTACTTTAGTTGATAGGCCGAAATAAAAATTATTACTTTAGTTGATAGGCCGAGGTAAAAAGATATTATGAAATATAAATTTTATAGTAATATTATAAAACAAAATATAATTTAGGACAAATATTAACTTAAGTTGGCAAATGTTTTTTTTCCAACGTGTTTTTCCACCAAATTAAAAGTAATTCTGTTAATTAGAACTTCAGAAAACTTATCCCTCAAAATCAAGCTATAAGGTATTAAGAATACAGTGTAAGTTTGTAGTAACAAAAATTGAAATTGAATGAATCCTTGTAGAAATTAATTTAGTTAAATGTGAATTGAATGAAGTAATTTATGATTAAAAGAATTATTGTAAAAGTGTCCTTCCCTCATTAAGAGGGTCTATTATTTTAACATCCTATTAAATACCATATGAAATTTGAGACTGAAATACACGGTGAAGAAATTCAATCAGAAATAACTATCTAAAAATGATTAACTAAATTGTTGAAAGAAACAAATTTATAAGTGCATTATCATTCTACTCCCTTTTTCTTGGATCTGGATTCTCAAGCATGCATTTGCACATGCACTAAACAATCTGGATTCGTGATACAGTTACTGCACCAAATCAATATCCTTTTTCCTGTTTATGATAAACTTGCCACTTACCAAGCAGAAGCCATCATAATAGGTCTTCCTTTCAAACCAAGTAAAAGGAAACCCTTTTCACATGACAATGTATATCCATCACAATCATAAACAGAAAGCACTATTCTAGCTTGACTTGTACACTTTAGTGGCATAACATGAAATCCTGCTCTTAATTATCTTCTCCATTGATATACTCTTCAATGTCTCTCCATTCTACCAGGACCCTCATAAGCAACAACATTACAAATTTCCTCAGCAAAGTGTACTCTCTCTATTTTCATCATAATTGGACTATTTCTTGCCATACTTGCCTCAAAAGAATCAAATACTGCTGAGTAAGTTCGTTCTTTGGAAACCACTAAAAAAACACGACAATATCATCATGATTTCAAAACAATGTTCCACGTATTAAATAAGGCAGAGAACTTAATAAACAAGACTTTCCGATTCCACTAACAAAAGTTTAGTGGAACCAAGAAAAACAAAACATACTGTTTGATTTCATTGTGTATCAAACTCTACCTTAAACTTGCATTGGCAAAGTTCTGTGCTTATGGTGACAACAACAATCATCTCTTATCGCCGTGATGCCTTCTATGAGGATGAGGATATTCATCAGGTTCAGTATCACGTCTTCTATGTCCACGATCTTCCCTCCTATGTTTGTAATCCTCACGGTCCCTTACATGTTTGTAATCCCCATCATCCGGGCTTCGTTTTCTTCGTCCTGAAACAATCTTCACATTTTCTATGCAATCCTCGTCATTTCTTCTATGTTTGTAATCCTCATCATCTGGGCTTCGTTTTCTTCGTCCAGAATCAATCTTCACATCTGGCCTTCCACTGTCTTCAGTTCTCTTCCTATAATCTCTGTCATTCCTCCTACCCAAATGGCTAGCCTCAGTTTTTCTCCTTTCATCTCGACTAGCCTGCCTTTCTGTGAAGCTATAACCTAAGTCTCTTTTTCTCGAGTCTAGCTCATCTTTTTGTCGATAGTCATCATCTCTTTGTCTTCCCACGTGCCTTTCTCTGTCTTTCTTGTCATCCTGCAAACCTGTATCTCTTGCACCTCTTTCCAGTCGTGCTTTATCATCTCCATTTCCTTCAAGCTCTCTGCTTCTATCGCCATACCTGTCTCTGTTATTTAAGCATGCCATCTCCTGATCTCTACGGCCTCTATGACTATCATCTTTAAAAATTTCTTTCCTGCCTCTTTTATCATCTCGGTCATCTTTGTTATGTCTTTGGTGTTTCGTTTCTCTCCTTGGACTTTTTGTGTTATCTCCATCAAAAACCATTTCGTATCTACACCATGAAATTGTAGCCGCTTATTATTTGAGACATAATCACAGACAGTAAAAGACAGACACGTGCAATCAGAAGTACATACTTCGCATTTTGTCCACCACGTTGGGCATTATTGTCCTTCAATATATATTTTGTGGGTTGTTTCACTGTAGCATCTCCAGTGCAATCCTTGGCAATATGATCTGTGGAACCACATTTGAAGCAACCACCAGCTGCAGTCATGAATTATGGTATTAACATGAAGGTTTAGTTTCAATAGTTAACAACCAAACATTGACTGGCACTCTGTACAAAGCCATAAAATAAAAGTATAAAACAAATGCTTAAAGTGATATAATTACCCTTATTATCTTTCCTGTTGTATTGTGACCACAGTTTTGCAACACTTTGACTAAAATCTACATGTATTCTCCGATCGTCAATCAAAGCATTATCCATCTGCAGAACAGGATGTCGTGAAAGAGAAGAGTTAGAAAAATAAGATTTTTATTCATCTCAGAAATTTTTTATGCGTGTGAAATTGAAAATACTAAGAATTACAAAAGAAAAGAACAACTCTGCAACCAAAACTGAAACAGGATAACGCAGCAAATAAAACAGGTGAGCAAGCAGCTAAAACACTAGCTAAATCATCATTGGGAAATAGATGCAATATTATGTAAGATGGATAATGCTAAATTGCTAACCATGGAAGATTAAGAAAAGTATACATAAGCTAACCATGGAACTAATAAACCTACAACAACATCATGTGTGTGCATAAAGCAAAACAGTTGTTTACTGTCCAGAAAAAGAAAGACAATACTATTTAGGAAAACGACAGTTCAACATCTCCAGCATACCTTGAAATATGCCTGCTCACATGCCTGTTTGTCATCAAACTCTGTCATGATGCATAAACATTAGATGCCGTTGATTGCATTAACAACAAGAGTAGATACCCCTTTTACAATTGCAGGGCAAGTTTGTAGAATACAGTCAAGTATTAGCAACTACAAGTTCTAAAAAATTGATTATGTATTTGATAGAAACCCAATGAAATCAGAAACATTGACAATAGTTGCTCTGTTAGTCTGAAGCATTTTCCATTTATTAATTGGTAACTTCTAACCTAAGGTCAAGCCATTAGCTTGCAGAACCAAAGCTCATAGACTAAATAAAGCTCTAAAAACAATATGATCTTGTAAAGTTGATGTTCGGAAAGAGTTTTATGTTCATACTTAAATTGTACTACTATCTACGGTCACTTTTGTAACGAACAAATTGTTTGGATCTTTTCCATCAATGCTGGATGTGTCCTCTCTCTTAATCTGGAAGACTTTTTATAAATTTATAATGGGTCTCACTCTCACTGTCACCTTTTCTCGGATTCCTTCATGACAGAACTTTATAGCACCAAGTTGCTCTTTATTTTAGAGGATTTAGAAGAGGTGGATTATGGAAGATACAATTTATGGTGGTTTGTCGTTTCTACAGTTCTTTGGTGTATTTAGATGAAGCAGAATGAATTCATTCACTTTGAGTTTAAGAGTGCTTCTTTATATTCCAGGATGTAATGGTTAGACTTAGGATATTCTTTGTCTTCATTTCAGTGCCTTATCCTGGCTTCTTTAAGGGTTTGTTTGGGCCTTGTGTTTTGGAGGGAAAGGTTTTTAAGAGTTTATTTAGGAGTTGGATTTTAGAGGGAAAGGTTTTGAAATGCTACGGGAGTATTGAGATATATAACTTAAATTAAATTGTCAAAAAAAAAAAACTTAAATTAAAAAAAAATTAAAAACATGTTACATGAGCATATAATATCATATTGTTTCTTAAAAAGTTTTAAAATACTAAATATATATACTAAAATATAGAAGTAGCCTTTCCAAACCCTTCTTTACATTTTTCAAAACCCCCTTTCCTCTAAAACCCTCCAAAAATCAACTCCCAAACAAATCATAAAGCTTTGTTTGGGAGTTTGGAGGACAATGGAGGGGAGGCTTTTGAAAAATGTAAAGGATAAAGTGAAAAGAATTGAAGAATTTTGGTTGAGGATTCTGGAGGATTTGTTTTTATTCACAACACAAAATCTCCCTAATTTGGGAGAACTCAATTTATATTGGAGGAGGATTTTGGAGGACTTACATAAATTCTTCAAATATATTTTATATTGTTATAATATTTTGAAAATTAAAAATATAGTAATGATAAACATTCATTTATCATTCTAAACAAAAGTACAATTTCAAAATATGTTTACGAATCTCCTCTCTCAAAGCCATCTCTTCCCCTCCCCTCTAAACTTCCAAATAAAACCTAAGGGATCAAACAATGTCATAATGTTCTATCATATATCATATCTCTATCCAACTATATTCATAACTCAAAATGTAAAAATAAGAATCAGGATCACTGTGGTGTAGCAAAGGGATAAAGGCCAATTTAAAGTGGGGAATATATGAAGCATTTAAACAAATGAGAATCATTGTTTCTGCATGAATATAAAATTGCATAAAATTAACACGGATTGTAGAAATGCACACTGACCTATAAAAGCATAGCATAAACTGTCACCACTATTTTGATCACGGATGATTTCAGCCCTATCATCAAATATTTCAGGTGTTAACAGTATGTATATTGCTAAATGTAAATGTGTTGACAAGTCAACTCTTCATTATTACTCACGATGATACAGTTCCAAAGCGTGAAAATATTGTATGCAAGTCCTCATCCTATAATTTAAAGAGAAAATCATTAATAGTTAAGAAAACACTGATTGCTACCTCAGTAGAAATGAAGGACAAGGAAGGATAAAAGAATACCCACCTCAGTCACCGGATTTAATTTACAGACAAATAGTACATTATCTGGAGGCTTTACCTCAGCATCAGGAATATCCCCAATCTAAAATGAGGAAGAAAGGGAGTTATACAAAACCATCATAGTCGCATGCAAAATCACGAAGTTCTGAGATATTTGTGTAACATAAACTTACACTCTCAAGCACAACTGCCCTAGAATGTGCTTCCTTTGATCTAATAACCTCTTCCAGCTCTCCTGGGTTTAATTGTTCATCCATAGGCACCCAGTCATCTTCAAGTCTGACTTCATCATCAACCTAGTAAAATTGCATGAAGTCGTGACTTTGAAGTTCTAACAGGTGTGCTTACTGAAGACTGTAAAATTGTATTACTCACTATAATGTTTGATACAGGATGAATACTGCATAAAATGTAAAGTCCAGTATATACATCCATATATAGATAAAGTTGTCATTCATCTCCAAATTAATCATACAGTGACCGCCAATTTCAATCAAATTCACAAGAATCTAATCATTAGATAATCAATTCAGAAAATAGAAATTAATAAAGAGAAATAGATCAACAATGGAAAATAGCCTGTATTTAATTTATTGATGAAGAAAGAAAATATGTAGAAGGCAGAGCCGTCTCAAATTTTGAGGCCCGGTGTAGGTTAGCTATAGTTTACCTATGACAAAACAAATAGAGGCCCTATTTTATCACAATTTAACCTGAAAAATAATTTATGAGGCCCTATTTAACTATAGCTTAACCCTGAAAAATTTGAGGCCTTGTGCGGTAATCCGCCTTGCACGCCCTCAAAGACAGCCCTGGTAGAAGGGAATGAATCTCAATCTACCCCAGAGTGAAGCTCAGAGATGGAGAAAACTCCCTCTGCCTAACCATATTGGTTCACTCAATAATCTTTCATAACACACACAGCCCAGTCACCTTACTATTAATACTATTAAGGCATTACAAATTGCCAGCTAAGCATTCTACCCCACTCATTATTCGACATATATTCTCGTCTATTACATAAAATCCCTTTTTTTACTTGTGATATCTTTACTCGGGACTCTATCAGAAGCTGTCATTCATTTCAAAATTTCTCATTCATCTCCAAATTATTCATACTGTGACAGCCAATATAAAACAAATTCACAAGAATCCAATCATTCGAAATCAATTTTGGATTTACTGTTATAATTTACAAACATGGCAGAAAAAAACTTGGTCAATACATTAACCATATTTATCGAGAAACAATTCAAGATGGAAGAAAAAAAAAATTAAAATAGGACAGGGTGTATTACCCTCCTGAACCGGGTGAAATAAATAAAGTACTGAAATCAAACAAATGCATCAGTGCAAATTAAGCTGAATAATTCTCGTATTATCCTCGTCAAAAAAAAAAACTCCCATGTGATCCTATCTTTCATCATGTCTGTCAGCAAAACCTTCTAAGAAACCATAAAAGACACTAAGTAACAGGTGCATTTGCTCCCAGGATTAGCACCCATAAAAAAGACTTATTCCCACAATTTTCAAACTTAACTACTGTAACTACAAGCCTGCTGCTTTAAAATGTGTCTGAAGAAATAACAAGTGGATTTGCTCGTGCGATCAAGTTAAGAAAAATGAGGTCAATGATTTTTTTCAGTTGGAGTCATTACCAGTTCTCACAATTAATGCTATCATAACAGAAAGGACCACCAATAACAAATAATATAAGCTAAAATTTTGCTTGCTTTCAAGCTGTTAAATACATTTCTGCGATCAACCCGTACCTCGTCCTTAGGTTTTCCCTCAGGTGAAGCTTCAGGAATAAACTCAGGTAGCTGAGGAGGATCATCATAAGGATCCTCAAGGATGTAAGTATGCTTGATCCTGTTCAAGTAATTCAAGAAGATGAATACATTGCATTTATCTCAAAAAGACAAACTAAAATGCCACTTTCAATCCACATTTCTTAGTAGTGAAAAAAGAGTATAAACCTGATATTTTTAAAGGGTCTGCCCTTTCCATCTGCATAAGCCTCATTTATTCTAGTCAAAGTCTCAAATCCTTCAGCTACCTCGCCAAAAACCTACAAATATGGCATAGCATAGAAACCAAATAAATAACGTCGACATTATAAAAGTTGATAGGTTATAGCTGAACAATACAGTTTGAGTATGAAAAATGTAGAAGCACTAATCTCTTTATATAGACTATTGTGAGAACTAAATAATATATTTTGAATGTGCAAAATGCACACGCACTAATCTCTTTGTATATACTATTCTAATCTAATGGGTCTAATTAATAGAAAGGTCCAAATATAAATTACTACTAACAATAGTAAAAAAATAAAAATAAAAACTACAGTAAAAATAAATTATTTACAACACTCCCGCTCAATCTAGTGAATGAATATCTATCATTCCCAACTTAAAACAATCTTTTCAGGCATTGTAGTCCAGCCCTTAATTAGAAGATTTGTGAAGTTGTCTTGAGAAGAAACATATGGAGTACAAATAAGATAACTATTTAATTTTTTTTAATGAAAATGTATGTCAACTTTAATATGTTTGGTTCTATCATGTTGCACGGGATTATGGACTATGCTAAAAGCAGATTTATCATCACAATGAAGTCTCTTTGGTTCATTAATCTTTATCTTCAAGTCTTCTAAGATATCATTTTCAGCCATAGTAGTTCGCTTATCCCTTGTGTCATTGCTCTAGCACTGCTTCAACACTAGATTAAGGATACAACACTTTGTTTTTTACTCTTCCAAGTCACGAGATTCTCACCCGGGAAAGTAAAATAGTTTGTAGTTGATTTTATATCCACAATTTGGTCCTGCATAGTCAACATCAGTATATGCTTTAAGACCTATACTTCCATTCCCTTTAGATATTGCACAATTAGGAAGGAAGCTTGTAAATAAATCTCCTTTGACTGACTAAGCTTACAGCAAAAGCAACATTAGGTCTAGTTTGTGATAGGTATGTAAGTTTTCCGACTAATCTTTGATACACTTCCTTATCAATCGGAACATTTTCTTCTGCGTTCCCCAACTTTACATTTGGATCAATTGGTGTATTGCATGCTTGCATGATGTCTTACCCATCTTTTATAGAAGACCAGTAATGTATTTTTGTTGAAATATGAATATTCCTTTTTTAGAGTGGGCAACTTCAATTCCTAAAAATTATTTCAACTTTTCCAAGGTCTTAATCTCAAACTCCTTGGCTAGATGTTTTCCTAACAGTTTTTGCTCTTTCTAATTGTCACATGTTACTAGAATGTCATTCATATACACCAATAACATTGTTACTCCCCTTGTCTCAGAATGTTTGATAAATAGAGTATGATCTCCTTGGCTTTGTTTGAACTCCAAACCTACCATAGCTTTGGTGAATCTTCCAAACCATGTACAAGGTGACTGCTTTAGCCCATATAAAGCCTTTTTTAATTTGCACACAGTGTTGGCGGCAGTAAGTTCACAGTGTCCAGGGGTACATCCATGTAGATCTTTCTTCATATTCTCCATTAAGGAATGCATTTTTCACATCAAACTAATGGAAGTTCCAATTGTAATTAGCTGCTAAAGATAATTTTTGAGTGATCTACTCCATAAATTTGGGATGATTGTTAAGTGTTTCTGAATTCAATTTAAACGAGTTCAATAAACTTTGCAAACAAAGTGGGAGCACGAGGCAGTTGACCTCTATTTATATTCCACAACATATTGGAGTAGCAAAACGTAAAAATAGAACCATGATGAACATGGTTTGTTCCGTGTTATCTGACAAGAACATTTTCAATGAAGGCTATGAACTGGACTATTTATGTCCTAAACTCCTACATTGGTAGATAGAGATTGCTTGGAGTAGAGTGGAGTCCCACAATTGATCAGCTTGATCATTTGGCTGCATAGTGCATACTCGTGTCCAAAATCAAAGAAACTACACTTGATAATAGAAGCATTACTTGTGAACTATCGGAAGTTAGTGAGGAATTAACATGCAACAAGGTATTTGATTTAAGTAATTAATAGAGTTGTTGGATGAGATTTTTGAGTAAGAGAGCCAATTAAATTGGGGTGAAAGTTATGAAAAGAAAAGAGAAGTAAACTTGGAATGAGGTGAATGAGATGAGAGACAGTAAAAATGAAAATGGGAGTTAGTGAGGTATTAACAGGCAACAAGGTATTTGATCTAGGCATGTGGCACCGACACCTCTGAAAAAGGCATCTTTGTGTTGGCGTCAGACACCTATACCGACACTTGTGATTACGTTTTATTTATTTGTTTTTTCAAACTATTACCAGTGTCGGTGTTGTATTCGGGGTGTCCTTGCTCCATAGGATCTAGTTATTAATAGAGTTGTAGTGAATAAGGATAATATTTTTGAGTAAGAGAGGCAATTAAATTGGAATGAAAGTTATGAAAAGAAAATAGAAGTGAACTTGGAATTGGGTGAAAGGGAGCCAGTAAAAATGAGAATGGAGAAAATACCGATATAGAGCTAGGAGAGACTTGCGCTCAAGAGTTAGAGAAGAGGAAGATAGCTCTAGTGAAGGCGAAGAGAGAGTGAGGACTGAGGGAGTTGAGGCAACCTCAAGAGAAACAACCTCCTACATGGATGGGTGATTCTGTTAGCTGTAAAGATCTACTACTACAAGGCTTGGTTATTCTGTTAGAGGTGAAGGTCTCCATGGATGAAGTTCAGCCGTGAAGTTCAGAAGGTACTCACAAAAGCATGGAGTGGAATATGCATAAGTTCTCTTTTGAGCAGAATTTACATTTAGAATTTTAGATTTTACTGTTACTCTCTTTTCTTTGACTAAAAGATAAGCCTAATAACTTTGCAAAGCGCAAACCGATTAAAAGTACTCATCAAGTATAATCATTATTAATTATTGAAATAGAATTCAAAGCATACTTATCGTGTAAAAGAATCAAAGCAAGGGAAGGATGGCTAGAATACTTACAGTGTGCTTTCCATCAAGGTAATCAAGGTCATCACGCAGAGTTATATAGAACTGTGAAGCATTCATATTCTCTCCAGCACTTGCCATGGCAACAGTTCCAGTCTTGGAATGCTTTAGGTCAATATGAACCTCGTCGTTGAAAAACCGAGCTTGATCACCATAAAGGAACCTGAAAAAACAAAAGGCTGTTGCATAAAATGAAAACCCTAGAAAACGAAATAGGGATAAAATGCAAGGGAATTAGGGTTTGTTACTTGTAGATAGAATCGCCAGCAGTGCCGGTTCCAGTTGGATCACCAGTCTGTGCAGTGAAATCCTTTTGAACGGTGTGAAATAGACAGCCATTGTAGTACTTAATCCTAATAACAAGAATGATAAGTTGATGATTATTTGACGAAGAAGAAGAAGAAATAGTTAGAAAGAGGAATTTTGAGACGAACTTGCAAAGCTTCAAGAAGTTCTTGCAGGTTAAGGGACACTTTTGAGTGTGCAAATCGATAACCAGATCCCCTAAACTCGTCACCATAAGCACTGACATCTTCTCTGTTCGTCGGGCGGGCAGGGTGAACACCAAAGACTTGATTTGTAAGTTCGGGCTTCACAATTTTCAAACAAATAAACTAATTCTTCTTTCATTTTTCACCTAACTATTCTTCTTTTCTATTATTAATATAATAAAATAATATATTATCAAAATTATTTTAATACTCTTTAAAAAATTTAAGGAGAGACTTAATTTCAAGGATAATATAGATATTTTACAGGAGGCGTAATAATGATTAAAAATAAATATAAAAAAAAATAATGATTAATAGTAACTCAATTTGACATGTGACAGACAGGTCATAAATGTCATTTATATGGCATATATGTTTCTTATTATTATAACTTGTAGAAGATTAAAAACAAAATATTAAATAAATTAATTTGTGGTATTAAAAAGCTTTTATGAACACTTTTAATTCCAGACACAGAATAGAAGTATATGAGCAGAATTTATCAGCGAAGAATTTTCAATTTATTTTCTAGACTTTGTCTTGTTCAAGCTATGAATCTAGGTGCGGTTGTGTTGATTGATTGTTGTTTTTCTTGTGAAAACTGAAATCAAATCCGTAAAAATTTTGTAACTGAAACAGAGAAATGATTATTGAAAGTGAATCGTAATAAGCGACTTACGAGAGATAAAGAGTTTGGATCGGAGTTTTAAGGTTGTGCAAACGAAATCAGAACTATGAAAATAAGATAAGGAACTGTGAGAAAGAAAGCATGATCGTTGTTGTCTGTTTTCATGAAATTTAGAAAGAACGGGGAGTGGGAGAGCGAGTTTGAGAACAAGGAGAGAAAGATGAAAAGAGAAACAGAGATGAGAAGGAATCGACGGTGAACAGAGGGGTGAAAATATGGAAGTGTGACAGGCAGATGGAGGTATCGTGTGCTTTATTCTACATATCTTGCTTTTGATTTAATGTTTTTTCTCTTTACTCTTTTCCTTCTTTAATAATTAAGGTTTCTGATGGGTCTTACAACATCCTTTAGGCCCATTCTTTGTTTTATTTAAATTTTGTTTTTTCTGTTTTTTATTCTCATTATTATTCTATTATGGAACATCTTAAACTACTAAAATATACATTTCTGACGGGTCAATATTATTTAATTTATATATCTTTTATATACATTTCTTAATCATTATATTATATTTATTTGTTATTTATAACGATATTGCACAACTATGCAAACACCCGGGTAGATAATCAATTTTATATATGTATGTGAAGTGTACTAGACCATATACTCATATTTTTCAACATAACTTCTATGTATATCTTGATAATTACTACAACTTAATAAATTATATTAAAATTTATGTGATAATCATCATTTAAAATATTTTTTCTTAATTCCTATATATTTTTATATACATTTCTTAATCATAACTACATAATTTTTATTTAATATTTATATCGACTTTACGTGACTCGTGCGAACGCACGGGGTCCTAAACTAGTATCATTTATAATATTTTACTTTTTTTAATTTAAATGCGTAACTTTTCCACATACTAATCCAAAAAGATCAATCTCACAATGGACCAAAGTCCATGGACCGGCCCATCGAATCCAAAAAAAAGTTAAGGTGTTTGGGTCTTATTTTTTGAGCTCATTTATTCCGGATTTTTTTTTAGTCCAGCCCGAAAAAGCCCTAAAAATATGGGTCAGTCTGTATGGGTCATGGGTAGTTCGTCAGTCCAAAAAAAATTAAAATTTTAATATAATTAGAAATTATCCTTTCCTAATTCATAAAAAAATTGAACAAAAGAAAAAAATTGAAATTGATTCCGTATGAAATTCTAGATATGGTGTTAGTGAAGAAAGATATAAACTATTTGTATAAACAATTTATACCTTATTTTTTGAACTCATATAGTATAAATGGTAGCTGATATAAATGGACAATTTTGATGTCCAAAGTGATGAAATTTTAGGCATACTATAAACAATTTGCATATTATGTATTTTAATACTTTTTTGGTATTATAAAGGTATAAACATCAAACAAAAGTTGTTGGTTTGACTTAATTTTAAATTAAAGTGTTTCATCCTAATATTATTATGTAGATAGTATAAAAAAGACACTGATATATTCTAATTAAAAATAAGATTGAAATGAGGTTTAAAAAGCTCTGATGTAATTTTTATGAGAGGATAGAGTTAGTACAAATTTGATATATAACAATTTGTTATAAAATTATATCTCATCAATCTAATTATAATTGTTATAAAATTGTATAACAGTTTGTTGTTATAATTATTATAAAACTATAATTGTCATGAATATTTATAACTTAAAACTTATTGGAACAAGTTATTTAATTTTGTGTGTTACATTGAATAATTTGTGATGTATTTTGGATAGTTTGAATTAAGTTAATGTGTTATTTTACATTTTAATTACTAACTTATATGAATTATTTATAAATGTTATTTCTTTGTTTTGTTGTGATTGTCATTATGTTTGGCAAAACTAACTTAGCTTTGACATGTTGAATAAAGACGTTATATGTACTTAAGCAACATGTCCTAAGTGATGTCCTATATACGCTCTTCCGATATCGTGATTGTGACAACTGGATTGTTGGATTTTCTAGTCTGTTACAAGTGCAGAATATTCTGTAAATATTGTGCTATCCTATGTGGCGCTCAGTTTAAAGATTGAAGAAAATTCAAGTTGATTTTAAGGAGAATTGTTAGTTACTAATTATGGAGATAATTTAGAAAATTAATGATTGATGTCCTATCTTTGAGGAGATAATTTTGTTGCACTTGTTACTTATCCAGCTGGAATTTGTGAAACCCAGATCCAGTTCATTGAAGATTATAAATAGAAGGTTTCAACCCTAGTTATTTTTTACGAACTTACACTATTTTTTATTAGGGTTTGTATGCTTATTGTGAGCCTCTCTATTATTATGATTTTCTAAGTGTTTAGAACTGTTCAGTCACTAGTTTGTGATTATAAGGGATTTGAGAAGGGTCTCATACCTAGGTGAGTCTTAGATAGAAGTTAAGCAATGATAGTGACTAAGTGAGAAGTTGTAAATTGGGGAATTTAGCTTCGACTTGATACCATTAGTAGTTAACTTGATCTCTGGCTTAGTAGCCCTTAGAGTAGGTGTTGGTTTACACCAAACTGGACTAACAATCATGTGTATTCTTTACTTTTCTGCACTCCGATTATCGTTTATCTTATAATTGCTTACTTGTTCAGAAAAAGGTGTCTTAACATCTTCTAGTACATATGTAATCTGAATACTAAAATTTCAAGAAATTCTAATTTTAGATATGAAATTTAATATATATATATATATATATATATATATATATATATATATATATATATATATATATATATATATATATATATATATATATATATATATATATATATATATATATATATATATATATATATATATATATATATATATATATATATATATATATATAATATATATATATATATATATATATATATATATATATATATATATATATATATATATATATATATATATATATATATATATATATATATATATATATATATATATATATATATATATATATGAATATTTTTAAAATATGAAAACTCGTAAAAACAATTTTAATTTATAAAACTTTTCATATATTTTGAATTTATTTTATCATTGTAATTTATGTATCTTTATAAGTTTCATAAATCATTTTGTCAATAAATAAAATATGTTTTAACTTCTTTTAACTCATTAAAAGAAATTTTTGAATTTGTTAGTGACGGTGAGATTAGAATTGTCAAAATGGACTATTCGGCCCTAAACGAGGCGGTCCATACGGACCTTGGGTATTTCAGGGTCAGGTCCAAAAAATCTATATTTAAATGAGTTCTATTTTTATTTCTCGGGTCCAATCTTGTCTGGACTGCGGGCTAATCGACCTTAAACGGGTCCATTTTTTAAAAAAAATTAAAATTTTATCTTCATTTTTGTAAGTATCCATGCAATAATACTTATATATATATATATATATATATATATATATATATATATATATATATATATATATATATATATATATATATATATATATATATATATATATATATATATATATATATATATATATATATATATATATATATATATATATATATATATATATATATATATATATATATATATATATATATATATATATATATATATATATATATATATATATAAGTCTTGTATCTTATGTGTTTGGAAAATATTTATTTACAAGTTCTCTCACATGTTTTTATTTTAATTAATAAATTATGAAAACTAAAATTTATTATGTAAGTTAGGAAGGATAATCAATTTAATAGGGGTTAAAAATATTATAATATTAATAAAGATAACATTTTATTTCTTTACGAGGGTTTAAGCCGCCAATTTAATAGGTGTAGATTCGCCCCCTGTCCACCGTCCACTAACGGGGGTGTTATATCCAAATTTTTGACCTAAGATCACATCTTCACTTGCATTTTCATAAAGCATCAAGGTCATGAGTTACAGTTGGTTTTTAATTCGCTCACCTTCGAATATTGTTTATGCAGAGATTACCAATTGTTATGAACATTTTATTTTATGCATCAATAACTTCTAATCGCATAGAAAGGTGTATGTTTGTGTTTATATGGTTTCATGTGCAGAGACAGGTCTAAATCAAGAGCATTAGGTTTTACGCCTCAATTAAGGTTTTAGATCCCTCAAGTGTTCAAGTATGGTGAATCACCAATTCTCAAATACTACTTCATCAAAGTTTAGCCCTTAACCAAAAGTACAGTCAAGATTTCATCATCATTGGTCCATGTGTGCATCAAGATGTCTAGGAATACGAGGAAAGATTAAATTTGCAAGTCGATTCAAAGCATTTTTACCAAAAATCAACATTTTCAAGATCAAGTCTAAACGACCATTGATCATTTTCAAAAAAAGAAAAGAACAAGAAGTTGAGTTTGAAGATTCATTGATCATTTTGT